GCGGTGAGATGCGAACGGCGTGCCATAGGCACGCCGATAAGGTAATAAATATGTATAAGATAGCGATATTGCTATTGATTTAACTGTAAATAAATAAAAATTATTCATGTAAATTAAATGCTCATTTTCTTTTACCTCGTCTATCCATTAGGGGTGTGCTATCTATTTACTGGTCGATTCGTCCATCTACTGGGGTTTTCAAGGGGCCTCTTCCACAGAATAGAATATCGTTTGTTTCTTTTTGTATTTTAATATTGAGCAGAGTTTAAATTTAAAAATCTATAACAAAATCTCATTTTTTGTTTACGTGTTTAAACAGTGTTTAAATTTTTTTATAACCCCATTAATATAGATACAATATCAATAAGAGTATTTTTACATGAAAAACGGATTAATCATGGTATTATAGAATTGAGAATCTTGTATAAATGCATTATGTTCGTCGAAATATGTTTGCACAAATATGTATAATTAGGCTCAATTTAGAATCGGGGAGAGCAAACTCATGGTTGTGATATAATCACGAGAACAAGGATACTCTTATGAGTCACAAAAAGCCATAAGAATTCATGTTGAAATATCAGAATTATTTCAGATGATCGTCTTGATTGGGACTGTTGAAGAATACGACTCCTGGTCGATATTGAGACCTGAGTTTGCCATCGAACTGGATTATAGATTAGGTCACACTAACAATAAGATCAAGATAGATTATTTAATTGATTTAACAATTTATTCACTTATTCTTCAGACTCGCCATTGCACGGTCACGTTTTAACAGGGACACCCTGTATATTAATTATTCAACTGGAATAGCAAAAGCAATCGTAAGTTTCTGATGATCGCATGCTAAATAAATTCTAATGATTACATCATATAAATTGACCAACCTGGTAATAATTCGTATAAACAGGAATTGAATAGTCGACATGGTTGTCCGTAGATTGATTTTGATCAGCAGTCAGGAATAGAGTAATTACATTTAATTTCGATTATTAATTGAATTAGGTCACGCACGTAGCGTCCGTGCGCTGATTTAATCATTAACGACGTATAAGTGGTAAGTCAATCAGAATAATTCATTATCCTCTTCTCTCTATCATTAAATCATGTTTTCTATGTATAATATTTTATATTTATGTATTTGTTCGAACTGAATCAATTAATTGATTTGTTTTAACTAATCGTAATTGACTTTTGTAAGACATGTAATTAATTCAATTAGACCTCTTGTATGAATTTTGTAATTGACGAAGCTCGACTAATTAAGGATGTAAGTATAGGCCATAC